CGTGCCCCCTTTCCGTCCAAGCCCTCTGGTTTGATCGGTGCAACCTTTCGCTCCATAGTATAATCGGACACAGGCCTCGGAAATACCGTCGTCAGGGCAAGGTGATGAAGAGTAGAATAATGGGGAGGCGAAGGGGGATGATGATGATGATGATGATGATGATGATGATGATGATGATGATGCTGATGATGATGATGATGCTGATGAGGAGGAAGAGGAAGAGGAGGAGGAGGATGAGCAGGAGGAGGAGGAGGAGGAGGAGGAAGTGGAGGGGGAGGATGATGATAATGAGGAGGAGGAGGAGGAGGAGGTCGTGGTGAAGGAGGAGGAGGATCAGCGTAAACCCAGAACGCATCAACGATGTTGCAATCAACCCTCTTCCACACTCCCTCTCCATGGGCTCTTGTAGCGATCTGTTTTCACTGATGGAAGTGCCCCGTCGGAAGACAAGCGTCTAAACCTCTTCAACCGGGGGAAAACACCATTCCTGGGACTTACACTCCGCGAGTCAATTTTACCGTTGCGACCTGACGGTCCTCGTCGTGCCAGAACACCGCTTCTGGGACGTCAATACCGCGAATCAGCGTAATTGTCGCGCCCTGACAATCCCAGATCGTTCCAACACTGTTTCTGGGACGTCAGCCACACAAATCTTTGATTCACAAATCTTTGATTCTGCTATAAACTGTTGAGACGAATGTGCGAGGCGGAAATGCGGGAGCCACATTTAGAAAAGAAGCCGCCCGTCATTTTTGCAACTCTTGCAATTTGTTAAGACGAATGTGCGCGGCGCTCTGGCCAGAGCCGCATTTTAGAAAACGGCCCCCGCTCCATCCCCGTAAACCACTTGCAAATTTCAAGCTTCAGGGTCATACGAGGTGAGGAAATCTCAGCCGAAGAGCCCTGCCCGTCCTACCGACCAGTTTCGGTGCGCGTCAGGGCGGAGTCACTTTGAAGGAAGAGGGATAGAGGTGGAGGAAAAGGAGGAGGTCGAAGAGGAGGAAAGCCAGGACAAAGACGAGGACGAGGACGTGGACGAGACTGAAGGCGAGGAAGAGGAGGGGGACGAAGAGGAGTGTGATGGGGAGGAAAGGGTGGAGGAAAAGGTGGAGGAGGAGGAGGAGGAGGATAAGGTGGAGGAGGAGGAGGAGGAGGAGGAGAGGAGGAGAGGAGGAGGCGGGGGGGAGGAGGAGGAGGAGGAGGAGGGAGGAGGAGAGGAGGGAGGAGGAGGAGGAGGAGGAGAGGAGGAGGAGAGGAGGAGGAGGAGGAGGAAGGAGGAGGAGGAGGAGGAGAGGAGGAGGAGGAGGAGAGAGGAGAGGAGGAGGAGGAGGAGGGGAGAGGAGGAGGAGGGAGGAGGAGGAGGCGGAGGAGGAGGTGGAGGAGGAGGAGGAGGAGGCGGAGGAGGAGGAGGAAGACGAATAATAATAATACTAATGCTAATAAGAAGGGTACTAATAAGAGTACTAATATTAACAGGAAGACGAGTAATAATAAGAACAATGATGAATAGTACTAATAAGAATAGTGATACTACTACTACTAATAGTAATAATACTAACAAGAAGAATGCGACTATTAATAATAAGAATACTAACAATAAACATACTACTAATAATAAGAAGAAACAGACAATTAATAATACCAATGATACTAATCATACTCATACTACTAATACTACTAATACTAATCTTACTACTAATAATCATACGAATAATACTAATTCTAATACTAATACTACTACTAATAATACTACGACTATGAATACTAGTGATACTACGAATAATAATCATACGAAAAATAGAATAAGAGTCATACTAATCAGCATAATAAGAATAATAATACGAGTAAGAATAATACTATGAATAATAATAATAAGAATAATAATAATAATGCGAATGATAATAATAATAATATTAATAATAATAATAATAAGAAAAAGAATAATAATAATAATCATATTAATAATACTAATAGTAATAATAATAATATAATATTAATAAGAATAATAATAATAAGAAGAAGCAAATATTAATAATAATAATGATGATAGTACTAATAATAATAAGAAGAAGAATAATAATAAGAAGAATAAGAATAATAATAAGAAGAATAATAATAAGAATAATAAGAATAATGATAAGAAGAAGAATACGAAGAATAATAAGAAGAATAATAAGACGAATAATAATAACAAGAATAATACTAATAAGAATAAGAATAATAATAATAAGAAGAATAATAATAAGAAGAATAAGAATACTAATAATAAGAATAATAAGAATAAGAAGAATAATAAGAAGAGGAGGAGGAGGTGGAGGAGGAGGAGGAGGAGGAGGAGGAGGGAAAGGAAAAAGAGGATGAGGAGGAGGAGGAGGAAAAGGAACGGGGGTCAGGAGCAGGCACTGGAGGAACACGGGAGGAGGAGAAGTCGCTGCCGGGGCGTGTGGCCGCCCTGGGACCGCCACTTGCCGACCCAAGGGGGTGCGGGGCACGCGCCGAGGCCCCGTGCGACCCGAACGTGACGGTGGACACCCGCCCGGAGTTCAGGACCGCCGGGTCAGCACAATACCGCAAGGCTGCAAGGAACGGCTGAAATGAACGGCTGCGGGCAGGGGTCGCGCCGCGTCGACGCGGCCGCGGCCCCGGCGCGGGCGCCCCAGGCCGAACGCCGCAGTGGCCCGGAATCGGCCCGCAGCGCACCATCAGCGCGATGGGAGGTCCGCAGTCGTCCAGAGTGTTGGAGACCAATGCGCGAGTTGTTGCGGCACGAACCCTCGTTTTTTAGGAGGAGGCGGCTCGAGCTTTCTGGGCTCTTTTTGAGCTTCCGGTCCATGTGTTCTCGGCTGTCTGGTGCTGTCCGATGGCCAGTAAGAATTCGATGGAGAGTGACAATTGAGCACGATTCCCTTCTCGTCGCCGTCCCTTCTCGTCTTCCCGAGCGTGGTGGGGGACGAACATCATATCATTATCATCCATGTGATTTTTGACTCCCCTGAGGATATGGCGCAGAGACCATGCGAAGGGAGTCGTCACGCTTCCGCTCGTGCAGACGGACCTCTACATGAGCTTCGACATCCGCAGCTCCCGTGCTGACTTCTGCACGCCCAATTTCGCGCCGCTCCTCATCAAGAAAACCAAGCGCCGGCCTCGGCTGGGCGGAGCAGAGGTCAGAGTTGTCAGAGCGAGGGAGCTCGAGCGGTCTTGCGCTGCCCCTCGGCGCATGGTGAAAGGGGCGGGCGGTCGGGGGCGTCATCGCAGCCTTGCTCGTGCTCTTGTTCTTGCTGCTCTTTTGTTGCGCAGATCAGGGAGTCCAGGGACTCTGCGGAGTCCTCCAACTCTGGGTCCCGACCAGACTGTGCAAGGACCAGGCTTCTGCCTGGCGGCGCTACCTCGTTCTCGTTCCCTCCGACGACTCGCCCGCACCTCGTGCCGGTGCAGAATCCACCGTCCCCTTCAAGGCGAGTTCGGCCTGCACCTCGAAGGTGCTCATGGGCTGGTCGATTGCTGGCCTCGTCGCAGCTTCGGAGAGGCTGCGCCATCTCCGCGCCGCAGGCACCCCGCACCCCGTGGCGGCCCGGCGACTGCTTCGTGGCACAGTCCGCCCAGTGCGAGCTCATAGCCAGCCCGCCTCCTCTGTCTTTAAGTCGGGCACGTCCCTCTACAGGAGGAATATTCAAAAAATAGTCAACAAGTAGTGCGGGGACGTTTTTTTTTTTTTTTTTTTTTTTTTTTTTTTTTTTTTTTTTTTTTTTTTTTTTTTTTTTTTTTTTTTTTTTTTTTTTTTAATTATATATATATATATATATATATATAAAAAAGTGTTCGTCCAACATCCGCCTGTAGGGGGACACGCCAGACCTAACTCTGTCCGCCAGTTTCGGTACCGCCCCTCAGACGGGGCCGCTAGACGCCCAGTCATCGCCGACAGTGGCCTGATAGCCCACCCCGCCTCGGAACGTGTGGTTTCGCGATCAAGAGCCCGTCGCGGATTCAAGCGCGATGTTTGCCCCCCCCCCCTCTCCCCCCCTCCCTGCACTGGTCTTCCCACGTCGCCCCCTCACAATCTTGGGTGTTCCGAGCCAAGGCAGTGGTCCAGCGCGTCATGGGTCCCGTGGGAGCTGCGCAAGGTGGACTGCTATGGTGCCCGGATCCACCCGCCCGGCATCTCGCTGCTGGTCATGCGCTGCGAGCACGGGGTGAGTGGTGCTGCAGGGGGCTCGGTTCTCGCATGGGGGGGGGGCCGAGACGGGGACGGAAGGGGATATGAGCATGGCGATGGCTATGATGACGACGATGATGATGATGATGATGATGATGATGATGATGATGATGATGATGATGATGATGATGATGATGATGATGCTGATGATGATGATGATAATGATGATGACGATGATGATGATGATGATGATGATGATGATGATGATGATGATGATGATAATGATGATGATGATGATGATGATGATGATGATGATGATGATGATGAGGGTGACGATGATGCTGATGATGCTGATGATGCTGAGGGTGATGATGATGCTGATGATGCTGATGCTGATTCTGATGCTGATGCTGCTGGTGCTGATGATGATGAGGATGAGGATGATGCTGATGCTGATGATGATGATGATGATGATGATGATGATGATGATGATGATGATGGTGATGATGATGCTGATGCTGATGCTGATGCTGATGCTGATGCTGATGCTGATGAGGCTGATTCTTATTCTACTTATTATTACGATCATCATTATTATTATTATTATCATTATTATTATTCTTATTTATTTATCATTATTATTATGATTATGATTAATATTATTATTTTTTTTCTGCTGATGCTGATGCTGATGCTGGTGCTGGTGCTGGTGCTGATGCCGACGACGCGCGCGTGTGCACTTCGTCCCGTTTTTGTCAGGGATTGTTGAACACGGATGATTTTTGATAAACGAGTGTGCGCGCATTGTGTTCTTTGCAGAGGATGGGGGGGCCGATACTGGCCTGCCTTTGGATGGCATGAATTCATATTTAGGATGGGCGATCGGGCAGAATCAAATGCAAATTGCAATGCGAAAGGGTGGCCGGTTTACTGGGGGGCGGATATCCGAATTTTCTTGTAGAAAGCAGGATCTACGTGATGCAATCTGCGGTGTGCAGTCTATGTGGTGCAGTGGTGCACTCTATGAGGTTCAACCCATGTTGAAATTCGCCCTGTCGAAGTTGACTTGTCGACCCGACTGCTCGCACAATCATCCCGCGCACCCACCCGCAACTTGGTTTGCAAAGTCCATGCGGCGGCGATTGCGATGACTGCATGGCGGTGGCTGGCGCGTCGCTGCGGCCGCGCTAGCGCGCGCAGGCTCGCGCGCGCAGCAGCCAGCTAGTTTGGCGCGACCGACGCGGCCGCGGTGGCGCTGATCGCTGGGGACTCCCCAGCGCGTCTCGCAGGCCGCGCTGACGCGCGGGCACTTCCGTGCGACTCGGTGATTCGGGCGGGCGCGGTACATAGCAACGTCGACACAGGCAGGCACGATGATGAATCTAGCGATGCGGATGACGCGACGGTGACGATTACGATAGCGACGGCAAAGCCAATGATGGTGCCGATGTTGATCACGCTGATGACGATGATTGTGTCCACGTCCCGATGATGAAGGTTTTTTTGAAAAGAAGTCGACATGCGCGCGCGGCCGACGGGCGCGAGTGGCCCGTACGGTATTGTTTGGCAGGGGTCGCCCCCCGCCCCCCTGCACGTGCGCAGGGGTCTTCGTATGATTTCGACATGCGCGCGCGAGGGGCCCGCTTGGTCGCGTTTGTTGAAGATGTTGAAGAAGCGGTAGCTTTCCTTCGGCTTCACACGTGCGCGCATCTTTTTTTTGAGAAGAGCCATGTTGCAAAATAGTTTGTTCGTTTCCAACAGTCCTGTGGTGTTGTGTCCTCGTTTTAAGGAGACAGCGCCCCGCATTCCTCCATCCTCCCGCCTCCTCCACCTCCTGCTCCTCCCTCCTCCCATCCCCGTCTCTGCCCCCTGCGCCAGTCAACAATTTTCGGCGCACCCCACACGCATACGGAACTCCACCGAAGGCCCCATTGGCAGGGTTCGCGTGCGCTTCCGCCTCGAATTCGGCACACCCCTCAAACGTTTCGTGCCCCCGCAGGGAGCTCCGCCGAAGGCCCCAATGGCAGGGTTCGCATGGTGTTCCACCACCATTTCAGCACACCCCTCACGCGCTCCATGGCCCCATAGGGAGCTCCACCGAAGGCCCCAGTAGCAGGGTTCGCATGCGGCCCCGCCTCCATTTCGGCACACCCCTCTCACGTTTGGTGGCCCCATAGAGAGCTCCACCGAAGACCCCAGTCGCAGTGTCCGCATGCTGTTCTGCCTCGAATTCGGCACACCCCTCGTACGTTTCGTGCCCCCCACAGGGAGCTTCGCCGAAGGCCCAAGTGGCAGGGTTCGCATGCTGTTCCACCACTATTTCGGCACACCGCTCACGCGCTCCGTGGCCCCATAGGGAGCTCCACCGAAGGCCCCAGTGGCAGGGTTCGCATGCGGCCCCACCTCCATGTCGGCTCACCCCTCTCACGTTTGGTGGCCCCATAGAGAGCTCCACCGAATGCCCCAGTCGCAGTGTTCGCATGCGGATCCGCCTCGGATTCGGCACACCCCGTACGTTTCGTGCCCTCACAGGGAGCTTCGCCGAAGGCACCAGTGGCAGGGTTTGCATGCGGTTCCACCCCGATGTCGGCACGCCCTTCAGACGCTTCGCGGCCTTGTAGGGAGCGCCGTCGAAGTCCTCATTGGCAGGGTTCGCATGCGGTTCCACGCCAATGTCCTTACACCCCTCACACGCTTCGTGGCAACATGCCGAATGCCCCAGTGGCAGGGGCCGCGTGCGGTTCCACCCCAATTTCGGCACCCCTCACACGTTTCGTGGTCTCATGGGCCACCGAATGCCACAATGGCAGGGTTCGCATGCGGTTCCAACTTCAATGTTGGCACACCCCTTATACGTTTCGTGGCCCCATGGGAAGCTCCGCCGAAGGCCCTAGTGGCAGGGTTCGCATGCGGTTCCATTTTGAATGTCGGCACACTCCTCACACGTCTCGTGGCCCCATCGGCAGGGTTCGCATGCGGTTCCACTCCTGATTTCGGCATCCCTTCGCACGTCTCGTGGCCCCGTAGGGTTCGCATGCGTTTCCACCCCAATTCGGCACACCCCTCACACGTCTCGCCCTAGCGGCCGGGTTCGCATGTGGTTCCACCCCCGCTTTGGCTCATTCTTATATGTTTCGTGGCCCTGTAGAGAGCTTCACCGAATACGCTACTTACATAACTACAGATGGTTGGGTCCTTCGCCAGGCTAATTTTTTATATGTGTTCGGAACACTCGATTTTGAACTCCCTGCGGAATTTAAGACTTTTGGCGGATTTTGGCATGCGCCCGCCACGGCGCGCGCGTGTGCGTATTTTTTTCTGCACGGGTTGCACATGGATGATCTTTGACAAGCGAGTGTGCGCGCATAGAGTTTGTTGCAGAGGATGGGGGGACGGGGCTCGAGTTTGGTCGGGCCAGGGTACTATGCATGTAAATTGTACACCCCCAGGGGGACCGACAATCTTGTGTTCGGGGGTGGTGGTGGTGGTGGTGGTGGTGGAAGATCAGAATGCAGTTTTTTGTTTGGTAAGATGAGGGGGAACATCTGTTGTGCAATCTATGTGGGGCAATACATGTAATGCAATACATTCAGTTCAACCTATGTGGCACACTTTCGTTTGTACAGTGTATGGTGTATTGTCTATGTTGTGCAAGCTATGTCGTCGTGCATTCTATGTTGTGCGCGGCCAGAAAGCGCGCCGCAGGCGCGAGACCAACATCTGCAAGCTATGTCATGCAATCTACGCGGGGCAGCATATGTGGAGCAATTTATGTGGTGCAATCTTTGCGGTGCAACATATGTTGTGTAATATAAGTGGTGCAGTTGATGTGGTGCAACCAATCTATGTTATGCAATGCGTGCTGCGCAATCTATGTTGTGCAATACATGTGGCGCAATCGATGATGTGCAGCCCATGTATGTGGTTCAGTATGTGCGGTTGTGCAGTTTATGTGTGGTGCAACCAGCGTTGTGCAATTCGTTCTTGTTCACAATGAGTTGTCAGCTCCACGATTCTCGCAATCATCCCACACACCCAACCGCAATTTGGTTTGCAAAACCCATGCGGCGGCGATTGCGATGACTGCTTGGCGCTGGCTGGCGTATGGCTGCTGCCACGCTAGCGCGCGCAGTCTCGCGCACACAGCGGCCAGCTAGTGTGGCGCGACCGACGCGGCCGCGGTGGCGCTGACCGCTGGGGACTTCCCAGGGCGCCTCGCAGGCCGCGCTGACGCGCGGGCACTGCAGTGCGACTCGGTGATTCGGGCGGGCGCGGTATCATGGCGACGTCGCAAGCGGCAGACGCGATGATAATGATGATTATAGCGAGGCTACTGACGACGATGACGATGACGACGGCAAGACCAATGACGGCACCGATGTTCGTCGCGCCGATGACGATGATGGTGTCCACGTGCCGATGACGAAGGTTGTGAACAAAAACAAAAGGTTTCGACATGCGCGCGCGGCCGACTGGCGCGGGTGGCTCGCGTGGTATCATGTGACAGGGGTTGTACCCCCCTCCAGTACGCGCGCAAGGACGTTCGAATGATTTCGATCTGCGCGCGCGAAACGCACGATCTCCATCCTGTGATGAACATAACATGTAAAAATGCGGTCCAATTTTTGAAAAAGCGCGCGCGCGGATGTGTTTGAAACCTCATGCCGCAATTCATTTTTTAATGTGTTTCCCGGGCACTCGATGTTGGAATTCTGCGGAGCCTGCTGTTTGGACGGGTTTTGGCATATTCGCGCGACGACGAGCGCGTATGCACGTCGTACCGTTTCTTGCAACAGCGGGTTCTTGAACACTGATATGCTGGGGCGGTATGCGTTCATATTTGGAATGAGCGATGGGCAGTCTCATGTGTAAATTCCATATTCACAAAAAAGGGGGGGATTCAGTCCGGTCCCAGGAGGGTGGTGGATCCTAGTTCTCCTTTAGGAAGGGGGATATATGTAGTGCAGTCTCTGTGCCGAGCGATTTAAAATCGCGCCGTAGGCGCGGTTCATTTCACGCGCATGTATGTGGTGCAATCAACGGCGGCGACGATGCGGCGACGAAGCGGCGACTGGGTGGCGACGGCGACAACGTAGCCGCCAGACCGAAAATGCGGCCCAGACGGCGGGCGGCGACGAGGCGGCGACGGGGGGGCGACAACGACGACATTGTCGCCAGACCGAAGACGCGGCCCAGCTGTTTAGAGCAGAAGTAGGAACCGCTTGGTGCAAACACTGTTTGGGGAATGAGTGCGGCGCCGAGGCGAGAGTGGCATTTCTGCCCTTCGCGCGGGATGTGCGCCCCGTCCCGCTCCTGCCTCGCATTTTGCAATATGGACGACGTAGTGTCTATGTTGGAACGGAGCGCAGTGATTTGGTATTGTTTTTGGCGAATCGGATGAGCTCATTTCGATTGGGTTGCTGTCGGCCGGCTAGGTGGCAGAGTAGGGATCTATACCAATCAGGAATAAGGATGACGAGGAGGAGGAGGCGGAGGAGGAGGAGGAGGAGGAGGAGGAGGAGGAGTTCAGGAGTTCAGGAGTTCAGGAGTTCCAGGACGAAGTCCGAAAGCAACCTCAGGAGGACCCCTTGTGGGCCCTACGCTCGAGCTTGGCCTTATTGTAGGCCTCGGGGAACTGCCCCCGCTCCAGACGATTAAGATACTCACGCCGAATGGAAGTGACCACTGATGGGCACCCCTTGCCCAACCCTACGAGTTGGTGATCCCCCATACATCCCACAGGACGCGCAGAACCAGATCCCCAGGTTCATATGCAGGCGCATGTTGTTGGAGGGGTGGGTCCACCCCCAGCGATGTGTAACCTCGCCCCCTCAGGAAGGCCTCCAAGGGAGCCGTCAACAGGTACAACATTGAAACACGTGGACCTCCACGCCCGAACCAGGGAAATAGACGAGGACCCTCGACACCTCAGGCACTTTCGCCTGGACTCGTCCAGGAGATGGTCCGTGGAAAACTGTGACACGGCCAAAGGCGACGGAGGCACGGCGGGCGGCGGAGGTGGAGGAGGGGCGGAGGGTTCATTGCTGCCACCTGGTGGCACCCCTGGCGCTCCTCGTGCGCCGCGGCGCTGAGCTCGGTGCTGCATGCCTGCCTGAGCGGCCGGCTCCGCCTCCGCCTGCAGCGCGTCCAGCGTGGCCCGCAGAGCTCGCAAGCGATTCCAGAGCACCGTGAGCTCCGTCTCGGCCAGGCGGTGCCGCACAGGTGCTGGTACGCGGTGCCTGGCCGCAGCCGCGGCGGCCGCCACGTCGGCAGCGGCGTTGCCACGGACCAGCCAGCTGCTGCCCCGCCCCGCCTCGATGTCCTCGGCCTCCAGGTGGGAGTTCGTGAAGAACACCACCACGTGCCCACGATACCTGTGGGCCAGCTCCAGCCCGATGAGCGCCCACAGGTCGGCGTTCTCGCCGCGGGGCGAGCTGTCCAACCCCTCGTGCCAGCCATCGAAGACTGCGAGGTTGTCCGTGACGTATGTCAGGAAACCAGAGGCCCAACGGATCGCGTTGAGCAGAACGAGAAGCTCACCCCTCGGGACTGACTGTCTGGGTCCAGGCAATTGCCGAGGATGGCCCATTTGCTGCACCATGTCCAACTCATTGTCGAAGACTGCCGCTCCGAGGCCCACACGGCGGAGCGCAGGAGAGCTGGAATGGAATCCTCCCCGCCGCTGGCGTCCCCGAAGATCAGCACGGGCCGCTCAGGACTTCCAGGTCCGAGGCAGCCACTGCCCACCTCGCCTTCGTTGGTGAGCCATTCCTCCTCGTCTTCGGGGGGCGGCACTGGCATGAGACCAGCAGGCAGGAGGCCGCGCAGCCAGAAGGCCTCCTCGGCCTTGTGCCGCACCTGGGCCTGCAGTAATAAAACATCCGAGCCCGCATACACTGGATGGTTGGCGTTGGCATCGCACTCCCAGATGCGGTGGTGTGCGGTCTCGGGCTTGCAGCGGCAGCGCTGGCATGTGACGTCCACCTCGACACGACGAGCTGCCTCCGATCGGCGCGCACGTGGCCAGCTGCCTCCTGCGGCTATCGAGACCATCAGCTCAGATAGACGCCGCCCGCGGGGTGTGGCCTCGAACGGTGCAACCAACTGCTGAAGGGACCGCATGCCAAAGCCTTCCTGCACGCCAGAGCCGCAAAAATGCTGAGCTGCCCTGCTCCAAATCAGCTGCTCCGGCGACAGATCAAAATCCGGAAAAATAGTCAAGTGCAGTTCAAAGCCATGCTGTCCGAATGCCCAGCCTCAGGAAACCGCCACTCAACTCCACAAAGTGGGCGAAACTGGGTCGCAATGCCTCTCCATCAATTACAAAATGACTGCAGACATAGGTCCTCTGACATGTCGGACACGATCAGATGGGACCTTAGACCGAGGAAACCTCACTGTCTTGTCCCACGTCCTGGGCACACCTGGGTGGATGCCGGGCGTCTGAAATCATTACTTGGGCCACAACTATCCAAAACTCCAGGCACTCATGTGGGAGCTTGATGCCAGGGTCTGCACGCGGGGCACGGATGGCCATGACCGAGGTCTTGCATGCGCCTCGACCGCCATCAAAGCATGCTGAAGCCAGCACACGGCCAAAAAAGAGCCCAAAGCACGTCCGAATGCGCCGTGGACCTGGTGACCGTACTTGCCCGCTGCCAACGGGCTGGCCTGCTCCAGCTTGCATGTGACCCGATGCTGCTTCGAGGCTCGAGCGAAACGAAGAACGCGACCATGCAGCTTCTGATGCTTGACAACTTTCTAACGGCGGGTGCGATTGGCCTGGCGCGTGCCACCGCCCTGGTCCACGCCCAAGAACGGAGCCCGGTGGACAGCCTTGACTGAGAAGCCGTTGACCTTCAAACGCCGTGAAATCTCTGGCATCCGTATGCGCCGAACATGCAATGACCGACTTCGTGGAAGCGTCCAGACTCCACTCCGCCATCTTGTTGCACGTGTCCGCCAAACATGCCGTGACCTGGTCCCTGATGGCCTTGTTAGTGCCCGCCATGCTCTGGGACAAGTCATCAACCCAGATGCGGTGGCTGAGGTTCAAGTGCGACGAAGCGATGCGAGAAAGGATGAAGTGGGTAAGACACTTGGCGAAGCGTGTGCCCCCTTTCAATCCCTGGATGATGGGCCTCTGCACTTGGAACGGATTGGATGCCGCTCCGAGCTGCCCGAGGACGCGGGGCGCGAAACATTGTGCCACCTCCAAGTGCAGCGCCGCTGGGGGATGTCCCAAGCGTAACGCTGCTTGCGCTGCTTGCAATAGGAGATCCCAGTCGATGCAATCGTAACATCCTCGAATCTCCAGCATGCCATGGGCTGTCCCGATGCCGAGAGACGCTGCAACCTCATCTTCGGGGGCGCGGAAGAAGGCCCCCCGAAGCGAGGAGTTGCCCAGGACAGCCGCGCCCCGAGGCTCCTCCGCCAAAGATGCTCAGGAACCGCCTTCAATCCGTGAAACTCCGGCGCATGCTTTAAACGAATGCGCGCCGCGCCAAGGCGAGAGCCACATGCTGAAAACCACCCGCCCTCAACCCGTGAAGTTATCGCAAATTTTATACACGAGTGTGCGCCGCGCTAAAGCGAGAGCCACATTTTGCAAACCACCCGCCCTCAATCCGTGAAGCTCGCGTGCATTTCGCAAACCAGTCTGCGCCGCGCCATTTTGGGAACGACCCGCCCTCAATCCGTGATACTTTTGTGCATTTTATAAGCCTGTGTGCGCCGCGCTAAGGCGAGGGCCACATTTTGAAGACCACCCGCCCTCCATCTGTAAAACTTTTGCAATTTTTTAAAGCTCCGGAGCCGCGGCGAGGAGGTCTCAGGCGAAACGCTCCGCCAGCCTTGAGAACTGGCCTCGGGGTGCGACAAGGGGAATTTATTTATGTAGAAACGGAGAGGAGGAGGAGGAGTACTTCTAATTTTAACTCCGCCTCCTAAAGCGTCATCCTCCACTGCGGATGCCGCTCAAGAAACAAAATCGCAAACCGGGGGCACTGGTGCCCGACTTCGGGGGCGGCCCTCTACAGAGCCGCGACAGCGCCTCGCGGCCTGACGACGTCGGCTCGCCACGGAGCCTGGAGAGGGATTGACCGCGCGCCCCCCCCCGCGCACCTGTCAGAAAATAATTCCTTTCAGCGCTGCGAGCTAATGGGATGGGCCACGCAACTCGGCCACGGGGTGCTCCAGAGCCGCCCCCCCGACAGGCGCGGCCGCGAGGTCATCGGGGACAGGGTGTTCCATCCCACCCGCAACGGCAACGGCTCTCGGGGGCAGGCCTTAGATTTTCTGCCGCATCGAACAGCGCGGCTTGCATGGGTCAGGCCAAACATCCGCCAGCTTCCCTCTCAATGGGGGACCTCTGTAGCACTTCAGACACTTAGCGCTGGCATTCCGCAGCTAGGGCTCGCGCCCGCAATCTCGCAACCTACAGGCGCGCTCCGCGGCGCTAGTTTGTTGGCCTCGACACCTCCTGGGAGTGCCTCCAGCTCGGCCCCTTTCCCCAGTGAAGAAGATCTCCCGCTGGACAGCCAACGAACGCGATGAAACAGCCGACGCAAGTTTTTCGGCCCAAGGGGTCTGGCCCACCAGCTCCTCGGGAACCTGGGCGGTCAGCTGCGGCATCAGCAAAAATCCCGCAGCTTGGTTCAAATGAACTTCCACATCTTTCAAAATCATGTTTTGGCGTTAGGCCTGGGCGGGGCGTGACCTCGTCCGAAGCGCGTGGATTGAACCCCCGCGAGAGACTGTGACATCGTGATACTTGGCCCGCAAATCCAACGTCGACGACCGAGATTTAGCCTGCGACGTTTGACGAACTCCTTCGACAACTCTCAAGGAGTCATAGTGCACTCTGCAATGGCCAGTCGTACAGCTGGCCAACCTAATCAAAGAACAGAGCTCCGCCCTCGGGGAGGATTGCTCCTCGCTGGGCAACGTGCCCATGATGGTGGCGTCGAACAGGCCGGAGGGACCCGCGTGGGCGCGCGCCCAACCGCAGCGGCGGAACCGCGGGTCCTTAGCGTACCTCCCCCCAGATCCATCTACGCCTCACGCGCCTCCATCGGTCCTCGCTCCTCCCGCGGAGCGGCCCCGCTCCCAGACGAAGAAAACGGGCGGCGGCAGATGCCCGCGGGAATCAGCCAGGGGCGGGAGTCCACGAAGCCAAAAACAAGAGCGCTGGGTTCCGGCACGAACCCGATCAACGAGCGAACTAGTGCGATCCACGATCGCATCGAGCAATGACAGGTTGGCGACACACTTCCAAGGGCGATGGGGCGGGGTCTCAGCTGAGGGGCGCCCGTCCGTCGCTCGGGGCACATCTGCGCCAATGCGCCAGCGCGCTGGGGAGACAGGGTCCCAATTCAAATCAAGAAGCACCGCCAGCGTGGCCGTGATCGGACCTCGCATGACCTGCCGACGATGCGGCGTGCACGCGAACTTCCCAGTAACCGTCTTCCACACTTGTGCAACTCGAACTCTTTGTTTGTGGGGGTAATCGGTTCCAAACCGAGGCGAATGAGTTCAACTGCTCATGACGAAGCCTAAACTGGGGGCCATCCATAGCAGGACTCACCAGACTCAACGCGGTGGTCGTGCAGGCCCCAGGGTTCCACCATCCCGAACAAGTAGCCGCCCGGGCCCGCGTGGACTGAACTTGGGCAGGGGGGGGGGCGCCTAGAACTTCATGGCCCCGCGACCCAGCCGCCAGCGCCGCGGGTTTGTAAAGCCGGCGGGCCCCCTCCCACCGGGTGAGTGAGAAAACGGACCCGCGGGGCCTTTCGCCTGGCCAGGGCACGCCTACGGCGCAACTTAGAAACGCAACGCCTCCTGCCTGCGGTGGCCATGGCCCCCAAATCACGCACCCCATCAGCCGCCTTGATAGGTGGGCTCGCAGCGCGGAAGATGGGCGCAAGATGACCTCGCAGGTCCTTATCACAACAAACAAAGGTACTCTTACTCGAGATGGCAATCCCTGCCTGCTCAAGCTGATGACGGAGATGCACTGCTGTAGGAACTATACTTGAGACAATATCTGACCAAGCGCCTTGCTGGGTCAGGGTAATGTCGTCCACATCGGCGAAGGTGGTCACAGGGCGATGCTTGGTGTGCGCAAAGTCCATCAAATCATGCAGACAAATCATGACACGCGGCGTGGACTGCACGCGTCCAGGCAGCGCCCCGCGCCCCGTGGGGACAACATCGGACACGAAGCCGTTGACCTCCAGGACTCGCGGCGCCTCGTGCGTCAGAATCCCCGCGTGCAAAGGGTGAGCTGGGTCGGCCATCTTCACGGCGAGACCAGCAAGGCGAAGAGGATCCACCGTGTCAAACATTTGCTCAGATCCCAACAGAGGCCAACCGACAGCCCCCTACGATAATTGGCCATCTCATGGCCCATCTCCCGCAGGAGAGCCGCCTGCAACGCCGAGGGTCCTCGAATCGCAGCGTCCCAGTAATTGTCGCGCTCCCGAGACCACTCATCAATGTCGCGGCCTCGCGCCCGACAATGCAGGCGGCGCAGGGGGGGGGGGGGCGCTTGCAGACAGGACGCTCCGCGCCCGCAGCCTTAGGAAGCAGGGCAATGATGCCCATCGTAGTCTGGGTGGGCCACGTCTTCGAGCGCTCGCATTGATTTATGAAATCAGCGTAGACCCCCACAGCAGAACCAGGCAAAGACGCCAACAGACGGGGGGCCCAATAATCGATGCCAACCGCAGTATCAACCTTGAACAGCCGCGCCACTCTGGACACCTTCCCAGGGGTCAAAGGGTCCAAGGACTCCACCGCCTCTAACGCCATCGGTCACAGAACATCCAAGGCACCCGGCAACGCTTCCCGCTGATCAGGGGGGGCTTCTTTCCCAAACTGGCTCCAAAAATCTTGGCGGTGCTGCGTTATCTCCTCTGGGAGTTGCTTCGCGTCAGTAGGTGTGACAATGCGCTCTAGATCGGATCCTTGATCGCGCTTCAGCCAAGCATGCGCCCGCGTGGCGCCTCAAGGCGACGCTGTGAGACACTGCTGCTTCATGCTAGCCTTAGACGCTGCGCGGGCGGCGTGCCAGGCCTGACCGACTGCGTGAGCGACGGGCTCGGAAAGCACATTCAGATCATCCACGGAATCGGGAACAGCCGTTGACTAAGCTATCCACCAGTCGGCAGGCTGACGGAAACCAGGGAGCCAATGGGAATGAACTTGGCCGCATAGTGTTGGCCGGCGCACAACCATGCCAAAACGTAGCATTCCCAGGCTTACGAGCCATGCGCAGGCAATGCCCCCGCAGGGTCCGAGAAACATGAGCCCAAAAACATCTTGCAGCAAGCTGGAAGCTCTGGCCGCAGAAACTTCTCCTGCCAATCTTAGAACGTCGAAAGTGGGGGAAACCACTTCGGACACTGCGCCCCCTGGGCCCCATCGGCACGGCGCAAGCGCGCGACGAGAACATCATCTCAGTGGCTCGACTCCACGCGAGATACTGCCTCGAAACACTCTCAGACAGGTGGTCACGAACATGAGGCAATACATTCTTGACGTAGTAGAGAGGGGTTTCCACAAGCCCAGGATCCTCCACGCGAGCCAGAACCCCCTCCCTGGGTAAATCGGGGCCAGTGCGCTCAGGGGAAGGAATAGGTTTCACTCGTCTCCATAGCATCTGTTCCGCCACCTTGTGATCTACAGAGACCTGCACGCACGCAAGCGTGGGTCTTGAATGGCGAGGGGGTGTACTTGGCCACGCGCACATACCTAGCAATGTCGCCAGAAGCCACGACGTAGTCGATCAACGACCCGCGGCCCTGACTACACGTAAACTCAACCAACGACGGGACCAAGACACGTCCGCGAGCGAGTCGAGGGAAACCAGATAAATTTAGATCGCCAGCGGACACATTGAAATCTCCCTGAATCAACCACGGCACAGACCACGTGCCCTAGAACTCGGAGGTTTCTCGCAGCCGATCGACATTCTTTCCACAAACACTCAGGCCCGACACCAAATGCACGACTCCTACAGCAATCGCTGCCTGCTTGGTCTTCAGCTTAAGAAACATCCAGTGGCTACCTGAGCCAAGGTCCGTCGCGGCCCCAGCCGTGGGCAAGAAACGCCGAAAACTTAAACCACGCGAAACGACGGCTCCCACCCCTCCGTAAGTTCCCCCTCCAGGGGAAGGGGTAGCCGGGATGTGGTGGGGCCGCCATTTCATTTGGTGAGTTCTTCTCTTCGCTCTCATCCGCTCGGAATCAAGGTGGTGCTCAGCAAAAAAGAAGCCGTCACAACGAAACTGCAACCTCATTCCACGACATGATATTGCAAAACAAAAAGTCGATACTGGTGGCCGCGCCGTGGCCACCAGTATGCCTGTTAGGAAGACAGCTCAGAAGCTGCTGCCGCCGCCGCCGCTGGCGCCGCGGGGGGGTCGGCCGCCGCCTCCGCGTCGACGGGCGCGCCTGCCGCTGCGGCCAGCGACGAAACTGCGCCGCCGAGATCTCCGGCGCGTGCTGCGTCCGCCCCACGGGGTAGTATTTGCAGCAGCACTCGCCCGAAATTGGATGCCGTATCTTCTCGAATGGTACGTAGCCGCTTCGCCGCCTTGCATTGAGCTTGCTTGACCAACAGTCGCTCCATTCGCTCTGGTTGCGCAGCCTCAAGAGCTCCTCTCGAGCGTGCTTCCTGAGGCCCCCAAGTTCATCGCGATGATTGTCGCCATGCCCAGAAGCAGCCGTCTCCGAGTCCGCATCGCCCTCCTTGACGTCGATGTACATGCGCCGTAGCATCTGCCAGTGCTCCGACCTCTGGTGGTGCTCGACACACCAGCGCTCAAGCCTTTCCTCGTCCAGCGAAGCCAAATCAGGAGGGTGAAGAACGCCAGCAGGAGCATCGCCAGCAGCAGGAGCGGGTAGATGGCCACCACCACCAGCGCCGTCATGGCCAGCGCCACCTGGGGCGCCGCAGGCGACAGGGGCAGCCACAGGGGATGCGCCCCCCGCCGCCGCTCGCAGGCACCGCGGCGGCAGCTCGAACTCCGCCATGCGGAGCACCTGGTGGGCTGCCTGCAGCAGCCGCCTCGGGAGCCACCCCGCGGCCCACCGCCGCAGCGGCAGCCGCCTGCGCGTCACGCAGCGCGCGGGCAGCTTCAGCACGAACTCGATCTTCTTCAGCGCGTAGATGACGACGAAAGTCAGCCTCCACAAAGCCGCTCGCGAAAGCAGCACCAGACACAACAGGCTCAGCATCATCGTCCACGTAATTCGACCCGCACTTGCTGCAACGCCAGTTGCCATATTCATCGAACTCCCCGTGCCCACACGAGCTGCACACGGAGTAGGAATCATTGCGGTTGGATCGCCATCCATCGCCACCGTAGCCACGCTTGCGTCCTCCACGCCCTTGGTACCAGGGGGCGCGGGAACGCCACGACATGTATGCCTGCTGTCGGGGGCCCAACTCCCGAAGTGAAGGCGAGAAAGCACTGGAGCGGGGGCCCGACTCCCGTGGCAAAGGCCAGAAAGCACTGAGGCGGGGGCCCAATTCCCGCAGTAAAGGCCAAGCGATGCCAGGCTGAACAGCCTTGCCTGCCGCGGACTAGCGGTATCCACTCCTTGGCAGGGCCAGAAGGGCATCTTTAGCCAAAACGGCTACGGCGGGAAAGAGGAGGAGGAGGAGGAGGAGGAGGAGGAGGAGGAGGAGGAGGAGGAGGAGGAGGATGAAGGGAAACGGATGAGGAGGAGGAGGAGGAGGAGGAGGAGGGAGGAGGAGGAGAGGAGGAGGAGGAAGGAGGAGGAGGGAGGAGGAGGAGGAGGAGGAGGAGGAGGAGGAGGAGGAGGGTGGTGGAGGAGGAGGAGGAGGAGGAGAGGAGGAGGAGGAGGGGAGAGGAGGAGAGGAGGAGGAGGAGGAGGAGGAGGAGGAGGAGGAGGAGGGAGGAGGAGGAGGAGGAGGAGGAGGCGGAGGAGGAGGAGGAGGCGGAGGAGGATTGGAGGAAGAGGATTGGAGGAGGATGAATAATTTTAATAATATTGGAGGAGGAGGAGGATTGGAGGAGGAGGATTGGAGTATGAGGATTTGAGGGGGAGGATATGCGGAGGAGGAGGAGGATGAGGAGGAGGAGGAGAAGGAGGAGGAGGAGGATGATTGATGATGATGAGGAGGAGGATGAGGATTGGAGGAAGAGGATTGGAGGAGGAGGATTTGAGGAGGAGGAAGATTGGAGGATGAGGAGGCTTGGAGGAGGACGATCGGAGCAAGAGGATTGGAGAACGAGGATTGGAGTAAGAGGATTGGAGGATGATGAGGATTGGATGATGAGTATTGGAGGGGGAGGATTGGAGGAGGATCATTGGAGGAGGGGGATTGGAGGAGGGAGGAGGAAGAGGAGGAGGAGGAGGGGAGATGATATGAGGAGGAGGCGACATGGGAAGAGGAGGAGGAGGAGGAGGGAGGAGGAGGGAGGAGGAGGAGGAGTATGTGAGTAAGGTAGGAGGAGGAGGAGGAGGAAGAGGATGAGGATGACAAGGAGGATGAGGAGGACGGGACGGATTGGAGGATGAGGATTGGAAGAGAAGGACGATGAAGAGGAGGATGATGAGGAGGAGGATCAGGACGAGGAGGATGAGGAGGATGATGATGAGGAGGGGGGGATG